ATATACAGAAAGAGGATAAGGGCGATTGATTGCTGCTTTATCACTAGGATTATTCATCCTTAATTAATGAAAATCGAGACATTTTACGGAAAAAAAGTTTGACTCCTTGAAATTGAGGAGGAGTTCCTCCTTAAAGCAAATCGGAGTTTTAACACTTGTCAAATTTCACATCCCTCAGTCTCAGCGGTAAATTATTTCATTAATATATTCATGGACTATAATAACTATTCACAAATAAGACATGCCTCATTTTTCTGCATGCATTTATGGAAGAAGGTTGCACCGTGTGACTGAAGAGAGAGATGTGATCTAGAAGTAGAAGAAGCCCAGAATTAAGGACAGAAACGTCAATTGAACCAAAAAAGATATTAAAAAAACATATAATTAACATTAGGGCATGCTAGAACCAAAGACAAACGGGTATCTTGTCTGATCTTTAATGATCTCAGAAAAATGGCATGCCCATTTCCTCGTGGCATCTAAATCCCCTCGTGACCTTTGATTTTGTTTCTGTGTAGCCCCCCCTCCCCAGCACCTGCAGATTCGAACCCTAGAGCACTTTCACTTTGACCCCAATTCAAAGCCATGCCATACAATACAAAACATATTACATATATATATAAAATTAAAAATAGAAAATTAGGTTAATTGAGGTAGAGGAGGAGGGAAGGGGTCAGAAAGAAAGACAAAAGAGAGTGCGAGATTGAGAAGAGACAGAAGAAAGAACCTTGTAGGCTTGTCGTCGTATAGAAAAGAATACAGATTTTGATTCTTTTTCTTTGAGTTTTTCAGCTTCGAAAGAAGGAGAAAGGGTTGTCTAAGAAGAATATAATAGTTAAAAGTATATGGGTAGGGAACCCATGAGTATCAATCAGTCACTTAGGCATTTTAAATATGGTGGGTTTTTATCCGTATTCGCTCTGTGTTTTAAGTTGTCTCGCATTGGAATTCTCGTATTTGGATAAAAATATCATAATTAGACTCTCATTAATAATATAAAATAAAATACAAAAATCTGTGTGTTTTTTAACCTACTAATTAATTTATATAGTTTCTTCTTTTGTTTGCTATCGGCGGTGGTCATGTGAGAGGAGGTGGGGTTTGGTTTCACTTTCACAGCGTTTTAGAAATTAGAATAGAATCTTCTTGCTCTTCAGCACATAGCTATCTAGAGAGAGAGAGAGAGAGAGAGAGAGAGAGTGGGGGGTATGAGTTGTAGTTTAGGAGAGGATGGTGGTGGGTGTGATTTTGGTAGTGATGGTGGTGGTGGGCTCGGTATAAGGATTCATGTCCAGAATTGCTGACAACTTGTGAAAGAAATCAGCCTTTGTTTTTCTAGATTTCCATACTCTCTGTGGACCCATTCCCTCTCAAATCCTCTCAACTCATCTCATATATGTCTTGTATTGTTCAAACAAAGGGTAAAATTGCTTCATAATTAATTTTACCTCACCTTGCTCCCTACCAAGCTTGATTAATTACTCAATCAACAAACAATCCATGTGCTTCATCATGGTCACATAATTACGTTTGTTAATGGATTAAGACAATTCTGCATGCATGCGTGCCCATGATTTCTTGCACATTATGAGTAATTTACAAAGAGCTTATAGTTCGAGTAGTAGTGAAGAGCAGTTATCCATTCACATGACGTCGACGTCATATGTTTTTGAACAAAGGGTAGGAGATTAATCAAATGTGTACGTTGATGGGTCGGTTGGTGGGAGCTAAGCTAGAGCCTAGAGGTGGGTAATGTGTACACACATGCGGTAAATTCCCAAAAATGTGCATGTAACATGAACAAGGGAAAAGGGTGGTGTTAATAATTATATGTTATGCGAAGGAAAAAAACAAAACAAGAATCACGAGAGTGGTTACACCTACAGAAGCAGAAGCAGAAGCCCTTCAAAATAAAAAGGACTAGCTAGCTGCTTCTGTCTCTCCATGTCAGCCGCTGAAACGGTGCAGAGATCTCTGCTGCCTGCACAGAAGAGTGCAGGGTTTAAAATGTATGTGTGGGCTGAGCTGGGAGAGAGAAGAAAAGGGCAGGGCCAAGAACGTATTAGAAGATGTGTGTTCTTCTTCTCATGCTAGGGAGAAAAAACCATTAAAATTTCCCATTTTTATTGAATATCGGGACTTGAAGCTGGACACTGCTTCTTCATGCTATTTTCTATATATATTAATTCCCCCCTCTCTTTTTTTATTTTATAAAAATTATATAAACTTCTGCGGTGTGCCAGTGTCACATGCAAATATTAATTTCTATACCTACATATTGGTTAGGTATATTTTTCTTCTCTCTCCAGTCTATTTGTTTTTTTTATACTTGATATTTTGTTAATAAAACTGATTTTTTTTCTTTTTCATTGGTGCTTCCCCATTCTAGCCCAAAATAGAGATTGCTTGTATTAAAAAGAAAAGAAAAGAAAAGAAAAGAAAAAGGAGGTTATCGGAAAGTAATGCTTTCACATAGAAGTATGTATATTTCTCCATTTTCTTCAGGCATAACATATGTATTTTAGGCTAAGCCTTGCTATAAATGTATAATTTAAGTTTTTTATTTTATAAAAAAAATATTGAAAGTAAAAGGGAAAAAAAAGGATTAATGATATGGTGATGAATATAAATTTGCACCGATTTCAAATGAGGGGAGCGCCGAGAAAACTGTAAAAAGTGAGAAATTATAGGGGGGTGGGGAAGTGAAGTTGGGACAGTTTGATGAGTTTAACTTTGTTTTTCCAATAATGAGAATGATAGACCATAATGAAAATAATCAGTTGAGTATCTTTGTGAAATAATTAGCCATCATTTTCCTATTGTTTTCACTTTGCACCCTGGAACATCTGATTGTGTCCCTACTCCCTCCCTCCCTACCCCTCTACTTCCTTGCAGTCAGGCTTTCACTTATCACAAAATAAATCCCATATCCCCTACCTTTTTTATTTTTTCTGCTAGTGCCCACTTCATTATTACATTGAATTTCATGCAATCTAGCTAGCTTCTTCAAAATTCCCACATTAAATTGTCACACTTGAGAAATTCAAAAAAATAAAACATGGGTTTAGAATCTAGATCACATCAATTTATAAGCTGTTTTTTTTTCCTTTTAATTTTGAAAATGAAAAGTGAATCACTTTGGTTGTGTGGCAGAGGTCATTATGATTTGATTCTCAATGGAATGAAAATTAAACATATGTCTTGCCTTACCTCCTCCATATCTTACTCCTTTTCACAGAGTCTGTGCGCTGAGAGAGAGAGAGAGAGAGAGAGAGAGAGAGAGAGAGTAGTGTGTGTAAAAAGAAAGAATATTTCTTGGGGCATTACAAAAGAGAGAGAGGGAGGAAAAGCTGTAAATATTAATTTTAATTTTCTTTTCAGTTGTTGATTCATGGAAACTTTTAGGGTCAATAATTCAATGAATCGCCTGGACACATCAGCAGGGAAGCCGAGCCGAGAGTGAGCAAGAGCCAAACTTCGAAAGCAGCTGGCTAGCAGAGGGAGGTAGAGAGGGGGAGAAGAATTGTAAGCTAGTGAGGAAAGGTTGTAGTGGCCAGATAGAGCATGTCTAGGTCTCTTTAGCCCTGATGGTATATTTGAGTTTGGAATATTATGGGCAGCAAAAAAAAAAGAAAAAAGAGAAGCAGAAGAAGAAGAAGAAGAAAGAAAGGTAGAGAGAGAGAGAAGCAAGCAAAATAGAAGAAGAAGAAGGAGAAGAAAATGTCGTCACGAAGAAGAAAGAAACAGGCTTTAAATCCCATCACGTAGTTCGATGTATCCTTTACCTTATATCTTCCAGCTCTCTAGAGAGAGAGAGAAGAAGAGAGAGAGAGAGATACAACTTACAAGTAAGTAAGTAAGTAAGTAATAGTAGAAGTAGAAAATGATGGGGGATTAGAAATTGGAGACTGTGTTTTTGGTTTGGTGCCTCAGACTTAATAAACAACAAAAGCTAACTTACAAATCGAAAAGAGGACACTCGTTTGACGTGAACCCCAACCCAAACCTTTCCTTTCTTCTTCCTATCCTCTTTTTTTTTTTAACATTGCCCTCAACCCAACTAATAATATATTGTTTCCTTTGACCAACATACCCTTCTAGGCTTCTCCTCCAAGATTCTCTTCAAATAACCATGCAATTTTCCTTCAAATAAATAAATTATTCCTTGAGGAGCAACATATATACCCTAGCGTTTCACGAGTAATAATATTCCCAGTTTATTTTAGGGCATACTTTTGGGTTACATTAGAAACATCACTTGTCGAAATATATGATTAGACATGATCTGTGCATTTCCATGCAAAGCTATGCTATTTGTCAAGGGCTGGGTTGCATTAAATGAGATGGTACAAAACCACTAACATCAACGCACAAGCACAAGCTCAGAAGCACAAGCTCAGAAGCAGAAGCTGCAGAACTGTATTTACCACAGGAGGCTCTAAACAGGCCCAGGCCTAGCAAAAGGAAAAGGAATTATAGACATTTATAGCTTGTAAGTAACCAACCAGACCAAGTTTTTGACTGTGTCTATTGAGTACAAAAATCAATAAAAAAAAAAGAGAGCAATGTGGAGGGAGGGGCACCATGGTCATTTCAGAACACACAATGAGACGGGAGGGTACACAGACCCTGCACCATCCTCCTCCTGTGCGTGATTTTTAAGTGGGTGTGCGCGGGATCGATTGTCAGTACAAAAGACAGTATGTGTGTGTGAGAGAGAGATAGAGAAAGAAAGAAAGAGAAGAGAGGAGAGAGAGAGAGAGAGAGAGAAAGAAGAGGTCACGGGTTTGTCTTGAAAGGCCCTTATTTCACAGTCCTAGACAGACAGACACATATTCTCTCTCACTACATAACCGAGGAGGGAAACAAAATTTTAATATTATCATATATCATATCATATCCCCATTTTATTTCATTAAAGAAAACAAAAAAAAAAACAGAAACAAAAACAAAAAAGCAAATAAACACAACACACTACTAGCTACTACTAGTACACCACAAACCACCCCTTTTTCTCCAACATTTTTATCCCCCAACTTTCTCACACAAACATTCATTCTCTCTCTCTCTCTCTCTCTCTCTCTCACTCTCTTTCTCTCACAAGAAGCTCCATTTCTTCTTCTGAGCTCAGATCTCTTTCTCTTGTCAAATCAATGGCTCTGATGATAGACAATTGTGAGGGCATATTGCTCTCCCTGGACTCGCACAAGTCGGTGCCGGCTCCCTTCCTTACCAAAACGTACCAGCTCGTGGATGATCCGGCCACCGACCACATCGTCTCGTGGGGCGAAGACGACGCCACCTTCGTCGTTTGGCGCCCTCCCGAGTTCGCCCGTGACCTCCTCCCTAACTACTTCAAGCACAACAACTTCTCCAGCTTCGTTCGCCAGCTCAACACCTACGTACGCGATAACATACATAAAATTCATCACACAAATTTTTTTGGTTTTGTTCGTGTGTTTTATTTGATTTTCACTGACGGCGTCGTTTTGTTGTTGTTGGGGTTTCTAGGGTTTTAGGAAGATTGTACCGGACAGATGGGAGTTTGCGAACGAGTTCTTCAAGAAAGGAGAGAAGCATTTGCTCTGTGAGATCCATAGAAGAAAGACAGCTCAGCCTCATCAGGTGGGTTTCAGCCACCACCACCACCACCACCACAACCCGCATTCTCCTCTCGGCATCAACGGCCACCATCATCCGAGCTTCTTCCCCTTCCCGAGTCGTGGCAGCATCTCCCCCTCCGACTCGGACGAGCCGCCCAACTGGTGTGACTCGGACTCACCACCTCTCCCATCCCCAACCGGAGGTATTAACAATCACAACAACAACAATAATAATTTTATGAATATTAATAATGCGTCAGTGACGGGCTTGGCGGAGGACAATGAAAGGCTGCGACGGAGCAACTCCGTGCTGATGTCAGAGCTAGCCCACATGAGAAAACTCTACAACGACATCATCTACTTTGTTCAGAACCATGTCAAGCCTGTGGCTCCAAGCAATTCCTACCCTTCTTCTTTGCTTCTCTGTAACCCTCCTCCGAATTCCATGGCTCCAGCTGCTACTGCTACTAAGCCTAGTAATTTCAACCAGCTTCTTGGGTACTATCCAGCTCCTCCTACAAATGCTAAGCAAACCCCTCACATGTCTACGACGACCCACCATCATGTTATGAACTCTTCCAGCCCGAGCAACACCACGTCCAAGAGCAGCTCAGTGACGATTCTTGAGGACCAGCAACAACCCAGTAGCAATGGGTGCAAAAACACCAAGCTGTTTGGGGTGCCGCTGCTTCACTCGAAGAAGCGGTTGCACCCGGAGGAGTATGGCTCGAACCATGGGACCAGCATGATGGAGGCCAGCAAGGCTCGTCTGATTTTGGAAAAAGATGACTTAGGTCTCCATCTCATGCCTCCCTCCGCATGTTAACTGAGCTACTTATTATTAGTTTGCTTTCCTCCTCACTCATCAAATCCCACATTCAAAACTTCGAAAGGTTATATCTTTTTTGATATTTTACATTTTTTTTTCCTTCTTCTAGTTTTTCTTGGTTGATTGTATTTTGGGTCTGATGAGATGGAGTCAGATGATCGATATTGTTGATGATCAAAAGTATTATGTGTGTGCGTGCGTTTGGGTGTTTGTGATCGACGGCTACTACTACTCTGATCTGTATATATAACTTTAGTGAAGATGTTAAATTTGGAGTTGAAGTTCAAAATGGCCATGTTTTTGTTTTAGCTGATCTCTTGATATTCAGTGGTGCAATTTATTACTGATCTCGATTATCGCATCTCTTTTTTCTCCTTTCTATCTTCTTCTTCTTCTTCTCTGCAGTTTCTGAGCTTTATCCCTGAATGTTTCAGTTACAATAATGCCTCAGACTGAGAGAGAGAGAGAGAGAGAGAGAGAGAGAGGGTATTGATAGCTGCTTGCCATGGAAAGAAAGGCTGAGGATATACAGTCTGGTTCATTGACAATTTCCTCTAGGGCTTTCTCTGATTAGCCCATCCATTAATGGGTCATACGTACAACTGTGAGTCTGTGACCCTTACAATACTTGGCTTAAAGAAAAGAAGAAAAAGAAGAAAAAAAAAGAAAAAAAGAAAAAAAGAAAAAAAGAGAGGAGGAAAATGAAGGTTAAGTAAATAATGGTTAAAAATGAAAAAGCAGCTGACAGACACAGCATGACAATTCGTTGTTCAAAATCAAACTATGATCAGTGTAATAATTATTATTATTATCTCTCATCAGTCCTCACTCGCACTCTATAATTGTGAAAGAAGAAAGTATACTATGATTTACTGAAAAGAAAGCCATCATGTCGTTGGATCAAGGTTATAATCTCTATTTCTCGTTTCCATGAAACTGTCAGTGCTCACGCAGGAAAAAACAAATACATACAAACATACAAATACAGACGTGTTGTTGTAGTAAAAAAGAAAATGAGAACAAACAACCAAAAAAAAAGAAGTGGTGTTTTCGATGAAAGCGAAATGTTAGAGAAACTGACTGAAAAATGAGGGTTTGAAATGTTTCTATCAATGCTTCTATGCTCCTTCTTCTTCTTCTTTGGACCAGAAACCTTTGCCTTTTCCCACTTTAAGTATCTCTCTCTTCAACGTCTTCAAACCCTTCTTTGAATCTTCCCTTCTATATATTTCTCCTTCCCCTTGTTTCATTTATTGCATGCTCCTCTCTCTCTCTCTCTCTCTCTCACCCCTTCTGTTCTTTGGCTTTGATAAAAGTTTGACCAAACATAATTTCCGAAGCCACACAGGTTACACATATGGCATTTTTTTGACCCTTCGTTTGTTAATGTATTCTCAATTTGGGACCATTAAAAACTGTGTGAGTGTGCGAGACAGAGATCTATTTCAAGAGTCTGGAAAAAGATAAAGTGAGGAGAAATTAATACAGAATCAATCAGAAGTAGAATATCTTTGTCGCACTCGTAAAATGGTTTTGGTTTTTAGTTTTCGTCTTATAGCCCCCTTCTAAGAAAATAGAAAGAAAAAAAAACCCTAACCCTAGATTGACACAAGTCACCACGATTATGCCCCCTCCCTTCTAAGCTTTTGTCCTTTATCGGGTCGTCGCACGTGACTGGAAATATGGAACGTGCAGTGTGTCACGTGCATATAGAATAGAAGAAGAAATAGAAGTTTTTACTAGTATGCTTTTGGTCCAATAGTAAGAGGCTTAAAGAGTAAAGTGGGTGATGGGCTGCAAAAGTGGATACGGATCTTCCGGGTAAAAGATGCTTTAAGGAATTCGAGGGATTTATTGGACCACGAAATTGGCCATTGGGTTGGGTGTTTTTGAAAGCTTAAAAATGGCAAAAAGTAAATGTTGCTACGTTTTAAGTCTTTTTTTAATACACTTTGTTGACATTTTTCTTCTTCTCTCTTTTGGGCATGTCACACTTTTTTCACAAGTTAAGAAAATAATAGTGTCATATTTAATTGGCAAATTAACAAGTACACGCGATTGCAAGATTTGTATTGGTAGGAGGTGCTCTGTGTTAGGGGGAACCTAAACCACTTTAAACTAGATTTCTTTTTCGGCCCTATATATAGAACATGAAAATATCAAATTTAGAATAATACTTTGATAGATTCATCATTTTGCTCTTTTATAAATGCTTTATAATGTTTTCAAATATAAAATCGGAATGCACAATTCAGTTCTCATCATTTCATATGACTAGTCTTTTTATATGTGTGTTCGTGTTGAAGGGGTTGTCCAATAATTAAGAAAAAATAAATTAAAGGCTATAGTGATTTTTTTTGAGATTTTAGTATAAAGTATACATTGACTTATTGAGGTATCAATATCGGTATAAACTGTATCTTATACTAAAATTAGATTTTCATATTTTGATTTGTTGGGAATTTGATTTTCTAGTTTTTTTATTGAATCCAAATTGGGGTACGTACTTCTTTATTTATATTGTAAACTTAAGTAAATAGAGTAATATAAAAATAATTTATAAAGACAAGACATTTGCTTCAATGTTTAGAATGAAAAAACCCATGAAGGCATGCCCCAAGCTTGGCCCTAACTCAAAAATTTCGGGCCTGTTTTGGTGCCTTCAACTAATAGAAAAGTGTTTTAGTGCCAAAAATAGAACGTTTGTATTTTGTTGTCGTTCTTTCTTTTTGGGATAACAAGGTGGAGACTGAGTTTTTCTTCTTAATTTTTTGGGGTTTGAAACGAATTGAAGTAAATATTATTTTTTTAAGAGAATAAGTATGTTAAAGATTACAAAACATCATGTAAAGAGCTTGTAGCTCAAGTGATTAAGAGTATTTACTCCTACACCCTAGATCTTAGGTTCAATTCATTCCCCCTCCCCAATATCATATCACATGTATCATATAAAAATAAAAATAAAAATTACAAAACATCACACCATGTTGGGCCACAAAGGATTTTAAGACCAAAATTGAAAGGAAAGAAAAGCTCGTGAGCTGTACAATCCACTACGCGTTATTGTTGGGCATGCCAGTTCAACCGGTCCAAATCATAAATGTGGGTTAAGTTTGACCCTTGCGCTGAAAGAACTAGCCAATGGGCTAAATCATAAATGTTGGCTTGGTTGGTTTCCCTCCAGAGCCCCCCAAAAAATACGTCAAAAAAGGATATATATATATAAATCCATGTTAAAAAATTTTACTGCAAAATTTCAAAATTATTTTTTCAACTTGAGTAATTATCTATATTAGCCTCTTCGCAAGCGCTTCCGCGCCTACGAGAGGCTTTTTTATAAAAAATTTAAATTTATTATATAATTAAAAAAGATAATGAGTAGTAGAATATTATGGTAGTACGACAACGTGGTATATCTTGTACACGTGTTATAACATAAGTGGATATTTATTGATACTATTTCCTAAAAAGATGGAAATAACATGTGTACAAAATGTAACAAGTCACCAGATTATCGTATTATTTTATAATTTCTCATTTTATTGATAAATTATACTGATATATTTTTTATTTTATTTAAGCTATAATTGTACTGATATTTGAATTGCTCCATTATTGTAGCATTCATCTTTTCTAACATGTCCCATTCATCTTTCCATCTTCAAAAGGTAGCCACATGACAGGATTGTGAGATATGGCTCGATCATCATATTGACAACTGGAATTTAAAATTTGGGAAGAAGTTGCAGTGACCTATTGCCATAAGTGACAAAAATGATGGCTCGATCATCATATTAGTACTATGCAGCTGTGAGAGGTTTTGTTTTCTCATGCAATTTTGTGGGGATCTGGATCCTCTGCTCTGATTTTCTCTATCATGATCTGCTTTACTTTTGTTCTCCATACACCACCTCATTAAAATTTAATCTAAGAGATTTAAAAGTTGACACATCAACCTAAAAACAAAATCTCAATTTACTCCTAATTAAAAAAGAAAAGAAAACCCTAAGACCATCTCCAACCCAAGGGGTGGAAACTCAAATTTTGAGTTTTGAGTCCAAAAAACTTCTCCAATCCATGTATTTTGAAGGGTGAAAATTTGAGAAATCTCAAATCTTGGGTGGAATTCCAGTCCCTTTATTGCCTGGACTGATAATTTTGTGGGCCCAAAATCTGCACTTTTTTATTTTTTCCTGGCTGGAAGGAAGCCCACGTGCTGACCAAAATGGCTGGGCCCGCTGACAATTTCTGTTTGGGCAGCAACTTTGTGCGAAAAAGTAGATTCACATTTCATTATTGATGGACAACTGCTATATTTTCAAAAAATCTTATATGCTGTTTTTTTTTGGGTTAAAAGTTAAATTCTATTATGTTTTGGAATTTTAATTTTTTTAGGTTAAAATGTTTAGAAAATTAAATCATGAATGTTGAAACAAAAATAATGTTGAGAAAAATTAATGAGAAAAAAAAAATTAAGGGTTAATTATTCTTAAACAATTTAATAAAGTTGCGAACTCAAATTATGAGTCTGCAAGGTTGGAGGAAAAAAAAATTTGAGTCCTGAAAATACATGAATAATTGTATTTTGGAGGGTGAAAATTTGAATTTAGCCCCAACATGGTTGGAGATGGTCTAACACCCAACTAACGGTGTCTTCTTCTCTTTTTTGCTCTTCCTTACGTTCTAGGTTTTTTTTTCTTCTTCTTGTCTCTGCCCATATCCATTGTTTGATGAGTGTGGTTCCAGAGAAAAGATTCCTTTTCTGTTCATGTCGATTTCCTGGATAAAAAATAAAACATTTTTGAAGAAATGCATTTTGGCTTTGTTCTGTAAGGTTTCTTGATTGATTAGTTATGCTTACTTTCTTGAATATCTTGATTTGTATTGAAATATGGTTTTATGTGTATTTGGTCTTGAACTCAGATCCGACAGCTTAATCTTCATGAATTTAAGAATTATTGAAGTATCCTTGTTTTCCTGTAAATCGGGAAACAGAAACAACCCCTTCTTCATCTGGATTTTGTTATGTATTTGGTCAAAATTCCTAGGAACTCCTTTTGCATTCGTGAGTTTCCTCTTGGTAAAGGCAATTGAGAGGAGTCCTTATGGAGCACTAGCCTTTGAGACTTTTGGGTAGATAAATCCACAGCAGGGACCAATTCAAGTGTCTCTTTGAAGTTAGCATCCCTGCTCCATGCTTGAAAAATGGTTTCCTCTCAGCTACCTGGCTTGTCTCATGAATGCAATGAATATGGGCACGCTCATCAGAAATGGAATTTTTACTCTGGAACCAACCACACTCATCAAACAATG